TTCATTTCCTAGACCTCTTCCCATACCCTATATGCACTATTCTACATTCGCATTAAATTTTTTAGCATCCATATAATGTAATATATACTTTTGTATTTCTCTGTATGGTTTATTTCACATAACATAACATCCCCAGTGCTGAAATTGGTTAGGATATCATTCTTTTCATAGCTGAATAATATTTGTCTAAACACACCACATTTTTTATCCATTTTTATGTTTATGGGCATCCAGGGTAAGGCATGTCTTAACTATCATGAACCATATAGTAACAAACAACATATCTATAGTGCAAATATCACTTTAATAGTCAGATATACTTTGCTTTGAATATTCACTCAAGGAATAACCCCAGTATTTCACAGCCTACTAATTCTCCATAAAGGTACACACACACACACAAACACACACAAAATACATGGAAAAAGGACTGCCTCTTCAATAAATGGCACTGGGAAAACTAAGTATTTGTATGCAAAATATTTAAATGTTTTTCCTTTTCTCCAGCTTATATAAAAAATTGAAATAGATATAGATTAAAGATTTATATATAAGATTTCAAACTACAAACTACTTAATCAAAACAGGGGAAACACTCCAAGGTAACAAAAAAGTAACATTGTGGTTAAAAACTTAAAAGCACAGGAAATAATTGAAACTAGGTAAATGGGATTATATCAAACTAAGATCCTTCTTTCTACATGTAGAGGAAACAACACAAGTGAAGAGGCAATTTACAGAATGGGAAAATCTATTAAACTGCTCATCTGACAAAGTATTGAAACCTAGAATACACAAGACACTGAAAAACTTCAATAGCATAATAATTCAAGTTAAAATGGAAAATATATGACTAGATGCCTTTCAAAAGAAATCTAAATGCCCTACAGATTTATTAGAAATTCTCAAGATCATTATCCATTAGGGAAATGCAAATCAAAACCACAATGATATCATTTTACTTCTGTTAGAATAGCTACTGTCAAAGCGACAAAGAATAGCACATCATGGTGAAAATATGGAGAAAAGGGAGCTTGTACACCATTGGAGAGAAAGGTAGTTAGTACAGGCATTATGGAAAATGATGTAGAGCTTCCTTGAAAATTAAAAGTAGAAATGCACAGTAATCTTGAAATCTCATTACTAAATATATAAGAGAAATAAAATCTATACACTGAAGTGAAATCTGAATTTCCAAGTTTATTGCAGCACTATTGTGAACAGTTAAGAATTAGAAACAACCTAATTGTCCATGAACAGATAAATGGATTAAGATAATGCAACAAAAATACATTAACAATGAAATTCTGTCTTTTGGGACAAAATGGAGAGAATTGGAAAGTATTATGTTAAAAGAAATCAGTCAAGATCTTAAAGTTTCATGTAATCTCATTCATATATTGATTTTGAAATTACCGATTCAATTCTTTTACAGGTTATCCATTTTTAATACAGAATTCTGTCATGTGTTTAATAACACATGAATCCATCTATTTTTGTGTATTCAAGCTATTGTTCAATATAAACTCATTTTTGTCAGCACTTTTCTGACAGAAATGTATTTCCACTGAGTTTTCAATTTTGTACAATTGCTAACTACTGTTTCATAAAAAATTTAAAGCAATTTGAAATTTATGAAACTTAATTAGAAATAAATAAGTTATAAATTATGCTTCTAAATTCTTAGGAAAAATACTAATTCTTATGCTAGGACTGTATAGACAGATTAGGAATATATAAACTGAAGAAAAATCATGCATGAAGTTAAATACATATGTCTTTATGTAAGGACATCCTAAGTAAATTCATGTCTTTTTCCTTAATCACCAAATGAGTTGTTAAATATGTGTTCAAACATCAGTGACAGATAGGTAATTTTCTGGAACTGCAATATTAGGAAGGTATTTTATGCCATTTTTGGTTAAATAGACTTTGTGTTACAAGTTTTTAAACCATACAAGAGGCCAATTGTAATAAATGATCTTTAACCGTTCTAATATATTGCAAAGTAAAGAACCTTGTGTAATAATAAAATATGATTTTGAGTACATAGTATATAACATATTTATGTTTTTCTTGAAAACATACAGTCATTATGATGCTTTATTGTGTTACAAGAGCAATGCTTTTGAGAAATAGAAAAGTCAAGATGTTTAAATTTATCTTCTAATTTTGAGATCAGTCAGAACTGTGTGTCCTGGAAACATGCTGCATTTTACAGCTTTTTAATTCATCTGGACAGGAAGAGGATTGTATGTCTTGTTAAGTTTTAAATTTTTAGGATATTTAAATTATACTGTAAAGCATTCCATCACTTTAATAGCTACTTCAGTCATTTTTTGGAAACTATGTCTGCATTCAGAGCAAGGGATTTTTCTTATCTTTGAATTACAAGGTGGAATGTCATGAGTTATTACATAGGACGGAGTCTGCTAAATGAGCACTGGCAGTGCCATCAGCACTTTGCTCTTAAACTCAAGTACGAGTCAGCCCTGCTTAAGACATCATTTGCAGAAGCCAGAAATGAATGCACAGTTAAAATGGTGCCATAAGTTAATTAGAGTGGAATTAAAAGAAAAGTGGGTAATTTGGGGACATAAGAATTGCTGTACCGAATCAGACCAGTAGTTCTCCTGGTTTAATATCCAGCCTCCAGCAGCTGTACTTGTTACTTTCCACAGTTTTAAAAGAAAGGAAAAAGCCTACATAATTCTCCTGACAAGTGTGCCATCTGTGATCGGGAAACATTTTCTTCTTGACCTCTGTCCAATAACACCCTAAAGCAGGAACTTTCAGGCCTACCCTGATGTTATTTTAGCTTGAATATCCCTGGTTATTAATAATCCCTGTTAAATCATCCATTTCCTACATAAAATCAACTAGCTCATCAGGAAGCTCTTTATCCCTAAAGTTCTCAAATTCTGAATTCATGGTTGAATATGCCTGTTTATAGGAGAAAATATAAATTTATGGTGCTTATTCAGTGTAAGTTCTTGATGGTAAAACTGCCTACACGTATCGATGCTAGATAAATTACTGCTTTTGTTTCCAAAGTCATCTGTGTTGAGAGGCTTTTTCCAGCAACTCATCTCTTCCAAAGTATCTCTCAAAGTTCCATTATTAATGATACATTTCTATTAGTAAGCTACAGGTGCTAGATAAATGATGAATTTTGCATGCTAAACTTTTAGAAAACATCAACTGGAATTTCTAAGGTAGAATGAAACTAAGAAAAGGAATGGATTACTTATTTTTATTTGTCTATCATAGAACTACCTGAAAGCACACTATCATTTTTTTTATTTATTACAAATATTACTTAAGCTTAATATTTATAAAGTGTTGCACACACCCACGCATATCCCTCATGAATAGTAAGTTCATCTAAGTTAAACTTTCAAACCATTTTTCTGTTTCAACAGATTTTAATACAATCACATTCATCCTAAGCTTTTCACTTTAGTAATACTTCTTTCTGGCTTAAAATCTAAAATACTAGGTTTTTCATAATTTAATCAAAGAAACAAAAGTGAATTATTTTCAATTGTTTGTTTGCTTGCTTCTTTCTTGTTTCTGGAGCTGAGTCTCAGTATGTACTTTGCATGGCCTTGAACTCACCTCCCTGTCTGTTTGGTCTTTGGAACTCCACACAGTCCTGCCCCGGCCTTTCCAGAACCAGGATTACAGGCGTGATTCACTGTGTTTCATCTTCCTTCTTTATTCTGTGTTAACTCCACCCCCTTTACCAAGCCTGCTTCCTTTGCCTTTCTGTAACAGTTCCTTATTTTTCCTCTCCTAACATCCACTACATTCCTATTCCTCCATGTCATTTCATTTCAAAGCATGCAGTGATTGCTGCTTCTCTTGAAAATGTGTGTCCTCTTGTTTAGACCAGGTTTACAACACCTTGCATTTTGGTTCTTTGTTTCCATAGATGTTCTTGCTTATAAATTAACTGAGAAAAATAGCATCTTCCATATATAGCCTACATTAGTATCAAGCTAATCTAAGATATATGAACATAGTAATAACATAAAGCTATATTAATGAGTAATCTATAAATTTGCCAATGATTAACTACTTAGAATTCCATTTGTGTGAATTTACTAATATTAATTGAGAGCTCACAGGCACAATGATCATAAAAATGTGAATATCTAAAAATAAAATCAATATTTTTTGCTGGATATCACAATTATGGATATGGGAAATATCAGTGAAATGAGTATATAAAATTTTTGAACAGATTTGGACATACGAGACTGTGAAATACATTTGAAGCAGAAATAATAACTGAAATAAATAAATTAATTACTGAAATAAATGAAGTGAAATAGAAGTGTAATTTCACAGAATATTCCCTGATTCTTACCGGGTGGTTAATGAAGAAAATACTTTAAAATAAGTTCATAATGGAGGGTTACATTATCTCATTTAATTTAATTTGAATCAAGGTGAAATTATTATGGAATTTTTAACTAGTGATACCTAAGAAAATGTAAAATGGTCTAATCAGGGTGATATGGCAGTAATGAGTTCATCACATGAAGAAATGAACAGTCAGTCCCAGTCTGAGGTAATGTTGTTAAGAAGGAATGGGATGAGATTGGTGTTGGCCACTATGATTTGATAGAGTAAACAGTTATCATTAAAATGTTTGTCTATCAAAAGGAAGAGTTAGCAACAAATTAACATTACCCTTTTCAGTAAGCTTTGTTGTGAGTCATGAAATATTTTGACTGAATTTAATCATTTTTGTCTCATGATATGTTACACAAAAATGCAAGCAATAATTTTTGTCTTTAGATTTTAATTTCTTTGTTTTACTGACTTCTTCAAAGTATTAAAATTGTCAACCTAGTTCATTAGTCTCACATCATACAAATAAATCCAATTTTTTGAAATGCTTAAAATTTTTGCCAATAATTTTAGAGAACAACATTCTTTGTATATAACAATGATTTCAAATCCACCAGTAATCTCTCTATTTAATCATTTAGGCACCCAAATGGTACCCAGAGCAATAGCTCCGGATGGCCGGTCTTCAAAAGCATTGAACAAAAATATCTTACCTTGAACACAGAATCACCAAGAATTTACACTAAACTACGGGCTCAACAGTGCCGATTCTGGACACTATTTTTTCCCAAAGTCTTGGAGATGGCAGGTGTGTGCGTGTGAGTATGTGTGTTTTAACATTTTAATCAATAATTTATGGACTATATAAAAGGAATGATAGACTTCCAAGATATTATTCAATTGATGTTGTTAATGTACATATCTGTGATATTACAATTACTATTTTCTAAAGAGTACATTAATTTATATTTCACCTTACTTTTATTATACATGTTTGCAATACTAATACGATGTGTTCCTTCATTGTTTAGTAATAATGTTTACATGCATTTATGGAATTCACAGCATTTTAAAATTCCTTTTGACTTCTTTTCCTCCTCTTCTTTTTTCCTTTCTTCATTTTTTGATCCCTTCCCCATTTGAGGAAGAACCATCTCCTTAATTTCTATTACCTCTATTACATTATTTTCACAACTTTCTTCCTTCGAGTTTAGATACATTGTTAGTACTCACCATAGAATTTGTAAATTTAGCAAGTGTATCTAAAATGTGAATATTTCCTCCTGGAGGAACAAGAAATCTATGTGGGACCCAACTTACTTTTCAGCCAATCTTCATGGAGATAAATAATAGATAAATGAATAAACACATAAAATAACACTGTTGTGGATTAAACACTGGTGGTCAATTTAACACCAGCTAGATTACATCAGCCTGGTGCTGAGCGTAGATGTCCCACCTGAGGAAAGTTGCCAGCATAAATAGACCGGTGGAGAAGGAGAAGTTATTGTGTTGAGGCATTGAGGTATTGTGGGCTCTCCTACAAGTTGTTGTTTGAGCCCTTTGGTTCTCCTGGAGAAGCTCTGGTCCTCACATTGAGCATTGCTTCCTGGCTCCAGAGGGGAAGACATATGATTCTTGGTCTCCAGGATGAACTCCTCATGCTGGCTTCCTGCCATAAACTTGGCTGTGCTTATCATTGGAGGAGCTTGGGGCCTCCGTGTTGCTGAGGATGGCTATGGTGCTTTCAGGACAGCCCTGGTCTTTGTTTTGAGTGTGACTTCTCAGCTCCAGCCTAGAAATCTCATCCCATCAACACAGCTCCTTCACCCAGCTGGCATGGACTTTTTGGCTTCCACCACTGACCTTTGGGCCTTCTTGGCACGGATCCGTAAAAGAGACTGGCATGAGCCCTTCTTGTGGGCTCTGGACCTCCAGTTGAACTCATAGGAGGCACTGTCATGAGCTCTGGGTTTTCATCTGGACTTATGTGAAACATTGCTGTGGGATTTAGGCCCTTGACTAAATATTCTATGTCTTTGTTGTGGATAGATTTCCTGCAGTTTCTTGTGTTAACTTTGGGTGACCATCATGAAACAAGATTACATACTCCATGTACTGATTCTAATTGTTCTCTGCACAACCCCTAACTACAACAAACAATTAGAACTTTAAAATAAGTATTCAAAAATAATTAAAAGCAAATTTACTGATAAGTAGCAAATTCTTGGTCTATAGGGGAAGAAGAGCTCCACAATCTACATATACAATATAATATATTTCTAAGTACAACACAATATAAATATTTCTAAGTACTATCTAGTTTGGAAACATTTAGCTAAGAACATGCACATATTTATGAAATACATATCATACATACAATTCAGTTAGATGATATTCAGGCTGTGATTGTTTAAAATTATATAAAGAGATAGTAGAAATTGGTTTAGATTATCAACTTTTGTTGTTCAACTAAATTTAATTGACTCAGGGTTTTTGCTGATCAGTTCTGGCATTTTGGCTATCATAACATTCTGTGATTTTCACACTACATAATAGTTGAAAACACGTAGTGTAGATTTCTGAGTTTTCTTGTTTAAGAATTTTTGGTTTGAATTTCAGACAAATAAGTGTGCCTTGGAGCTGTATTAAATTCTGTAATAAGCCCTTTGACTATCAGAAATTACTCAACCAAAATTATAACTGTGTACTCCGTCTGTCTGGGTGCCGCGTCTGGTGTATCAGTGCTCTGTGTATCGCCAAGAGTTCTGTGACGTAATGTGTATCCAGAAGTGGGTTTCTGCTTCCCTTGGCAGAGCAACAGCGCAGTCCTTGTGTTTTCCGAGTGTGGATAACAATGAGGTGACTCATTTGATCTGCCAAGACACCCAGAAAGACGCCACGGATCATTGCAGACTACGGATTCTGTATCTGTATTTAAAATATTTTTAAACAGGAGGGTCCTAAATTGAAGGGAAATAAGTAAAGAAAGTGATTATCTTTAATAACCTACTCATTATAAACTGAACTATCCTTCTGATTCTAACCCAAGTGATCTATCGCGGTTTTCACTAAAATTAAATTAGAATACCAGAAATTACTGAATGTGGGTTTAAAAATCTCTACCATCAAAACTTACCTGCCACAAACAGGTTGATCAGAAAACTCCAAAGTTTTAAGCTAACTGCTACCATTTCAGTTAATGGTTTGCAATTTTCTAACTGAATCTTAGTGAGCTGTATAATAGAAAAATCACAACTGGTTCTTCACTGGGACTATGCTGAGATTAGTTCCAATGTGGCTTGAAAGCATTATTTTTATATTTCAGCATAATTTTACTTTCTAATAACCCCCTCCCCCAAAAGTTTTCATAGTAAATATATTTTATATATTTTAAAGAAAATGCAAAGTGAGATTATTATAAGTGAGGATTCAATAACAAAATATGGTTAAAATATTTTAAAAAACAAAAATAATATGAATTTACCTGGTTTTCTGTAAGATTGGGTGGTTAAATAGATTAAGAATATATTCTGTTGTATCTTATATTTTTAAATAACAAACTTTTTAATTTTTAAAGTTTCAAAAAATTAGTGGTAGTCAGATGACTTTGGATAAAATTTATGAGATTTTTAGCACAGCTCCACAAATGAAGAAAAGTTTCAGCAAATGACTACTGACTGATTTTCTAAAAGCAGTTTGCTTGACTTGAGATAGAACCACAATAAGGTTTATAAATATTACTTAACCATATTTTTCCGTGGAACAGTCAACATTTTCAAATAAAATATTTCTTAAGACTGATTTAAACGCATCACTTCCAGGACTGCACTTCTGCACGATTCTTCAGGATGCCATGCTACCACTGCAGGTACCTGCAAGACATAAAATATATGGTAATTCTTTGAACTCTATGTTGAGATTTTAACTCATAATGTCTCAGCATAGCTCTCATACTTCTTTGACAAAAGAAAGGCAAGTAGATAATTGATCTACTAATTGTCATCAGTGTTCTTAACCTTTTTTCATTAAAACTGAAAGAGAACTGAGTGTTGTGGCACAAGTCTGTAATCTCAGAACTTGAGAGGCTGAAGCAGGAGAATTGCTGGGAGTTTGAGGCCAGCCTGGGCTATAGTCTATCGCAGGCCAGCCTGAGCTACATAGTGAGACATTATTTTAAAGCCAACAACAACAACAACAAAAAAATAAATAAATAAAAAATACATTGAGAGAGTACATTCATTTAAAGAAATTATTTGATCTTCATATCGTTCCAGAAAAGAAGAACATTAGGTACAGTGGTTTCTCCACTGACCTTTAAATAAATAACTGAACAGTGTCACTTACCAACAATGAAATTATTTGGTCTTCGTATCATCCCATTAAAGAAAAATACTAGGTACAGTGATTCCTCCATTAATCTTTAAATAAACAGCAGAGTAGGATTGCTTGCCAAAACTAAAAAAAAAGGTATAACCCAATATAAACTTAAAAACATGGTTACTCTTTGAATTGGTCACTTTGTAGAATAATTTACTATTATTTCACAATTTACTGAGAGTGAACATAAAAACTGAGAAGATAGAACGATGATTAGGAAAAATAAAAAAAATTAGTTTTGTTATTTTAATGTCTCAGAATTCTCCATTCACCATTAAAAGAAAAACAAGTAGAAAGCTTGTGTAACTTGATTATTAAGTCAACTTAGTTTAGTGATCCATGAAGTCTTCATAATGCCTCACCCAAGTTTAAAGCAATGTCCTCTAACATCTCACCCTGTCCTCAAATTATAACAGGAAAACTAATAAGGTCCTAATCTGCTACATAAAGAAGTATTCTTTCCCTGATCAAACTCATAACTAGTTTTTTTAGTCACTCTCTTGTTACTTTTGGCTTCTGTTTTCAGAAAGTTCAGTCAGCGTTTTACTGACTCCAAGGAAGAAATGGCATTGCAGAAAAGCCTGACAGAGGAAAGTTTTTATTCCCCGACAGCCAGAAAGCAGAGAGCAAAAGACAAAGTCAAAGGTTACACTTTCAGTGGTCCACCTTCTCCACCTCCTAATAGCACATTCAACTCTAAGTTCACCAATACTGAGTTCAGGTCAGGTAACCTAATCACCTTCAGGAAGCTTCACCTCTGCATACATGAGACTTCTGGGAAAAGTTTCAGCTCCTAACCATAACACTGGTCAATGATAAGAAAACAGGAATGTTGATGGGAGACAGAACAGAGAGCCCACAAGTACTCAAAAATATGAATGATAGTGTTCTTAAACTCTCATGGTCAGCACAATGAAATATTATTTTATTTCAGTCATTCCTAACTTTATCTCCATTAGCAATGACAGGCCAGTTCAACTCACTCTTTTCTTCCCCATGGCACTCATACAATTCATATGTTGAAATGCAAACTCCAAAAGTAACTGTATTAGGACATTGTTAAAGCCAACATAGAAAGAAGGTTTTTGTTTTGTTTTGTTTTGTTTTTAGGGGGAACAGTGACTTGTGGGAAGGAGCACTACTTTTGTTTTTTGGGTTTTTTTTTGTTTTTTGTTTTTTGTTTTGTTTTTTTAGAGCCCATGTATGTAATGTATTTCCGAAAATCTATAAGCTACAGACAAGTCTTTTGGGTAAAACTTTTGAAAGTGGCCATCTTTTTAAAATAAAATTCCTTCAATTAATATTTTATATCAAAATAGAACTAAATTGAGATTTTGGGGGGTTTTTTACAACAATTAAATTTGGCAGTGATATAAAAGAAAAAGCAGAATCACCTTAGTTCATTAATTCATATTTCATAGAAATATTTTGGAAGAAA